AACTGTGGAGAATGTTGCTGGCACAGTTCGTTTCCCAGAGATGGAGTGGGCGTTGCTGCTATTTCGTTTGGGCATGACGATCTGTATTGCCGTTTTCGAGACTGATGTCTTTGTTCGGTAAAGACGGTATAAGACAGGATGTTTCATATCACAGCATCAGACGGAAACCCATAACACGCCATGTTCAAATGAAGGAAGCGACCACGCCCTCTCCATCTCCAGGATATGGAGTGCATCTTTCCAGTCACTACTATGATCAATAGAAAATCCTCAAAATGATTATATGCTAGGTGAAACTAGGTGGTATAGTGGCAAGTGAGAAGCTTACCCCTAGAGGTTCAGGGTGTCAAATCCCGAATCGGCTGCCGACCAGGCCAACGAACTTCTACACCCAGGGCACGGTAAATGGGTATCAGATTTTTCTGGAAGGGTAAAAACGCTGGCTCGTGCATCGACGGACTTCCGCAAGTTATTGGATAGACTAGACTGCATTCAAAAGCCGCTACGATTCTGAATAGAAGTAGTGTGCGTGCCGCATCGCAAAAAGTGATTGATCAATTGCAAAAAAATTTATGCTTCAGCTGTAAACGAAAATTAATAGGTATCAAGATCCGATCACCTTTGGCGTGTCTTGCAGCGAAGCCAATATTGATCCGGCCCAAGAAATCAAAAATCGTAGGGTTTTCAATAGGGTTTTCGCCATACATATGTTTCAGAGGTCTTCTACAGACTGATAGAAAAAACCACCCCAGAAGTCCCAAACAAGGGAATCTTCTCTATTATCTTACAATATGAAAAATCAAATGTTTCTAGTGTGCACCTACGTGGTTCGGTGAGAGATCCACTGTTTTGTGAAGGGTGACAGGAAAGTAATCGGCGAACCATTTGTGCACTGTCCACCTGTAAAAGAGCGTTCGACAGGAATGTCTGGGGTTTTCCGGTCCTCAGACATTTTTCCTGCGTGGGTCTGAATATGAATCCGCATAGCCGGCTTGACTCAGCAAAGGAGAAAAGAGTGGAATAAACAGTTTCAAATAGGGCCCATAGAATTGAACGAGTATTCAAATAAGCGAGACAGTGCTGTGCGAGTGAGGGACCAGAGAAAAAGCGAGGACAGGAAGACGATGGAAGAGGAGAGAGACGTCAGACATCGGTATTACATAGAAACGCACATTACCTCTGAACCCATTCACTGGCGTAACCACCACGTCTCGGCGAATCCTTATCGAAATAATACCATATCGCATAGAGCAGTAAAATATGCCATTGAAAGGTGAACAGCTGCAAAAAGTTGTCAATTGATGAAACAAAATCATAATATTGATTCCAGTATTTATTTATTTACATTTTTTTTTACATTTTTTCCTTACTGCTGAAAAAGGCACGCTATTCCGCCTAAAAGTTAACCGTAATTTGAGTAACAGCCTACAAGCAGAAGCGGAGGAGTATACAGGGGGGGGGGGCCAAAAAAAGACATTTCGACCGAGTCACATATCAGCAAAGTTTTCGCAGCCCAGACAGAGGACGTGGATACGAGTACCAGGGCGGAAGATACCCAAGATGTTCCTCGATAAAGCAGGAGCTGGCTCTCACCCATCACCTTCATGTACACCAAAATATGAAGTCATCTCCAGTCGCGGCCTGAGTGGAGAACGCCTTTGGAATTCACGTGGCCTCCAAACAGCTGCGGAACTTCTTGAATGGAATCACCTATGGATAGCCACCCGGAGAGCAGTACTCTCGATCTGGAAGACCTCTATCATCGAGCAGCTCCGTCAGCGTCGCTACAGTCTAGAACATCCTTCACCCACAGTCCGCCAAAACGCCACATGATGGCGGGGAGCCTTAGGTGCCGTGAATATGGAGAGACGCTGAATATTTTCTTCGTAGGCCTCCGGACTGAAGGTGCGCGCTTGCACGTTACAATCGACGCGCCTGCACCATTCTTGGAAAATTTTACTGCTCAGGATTGGGTGACACCTCATGAAATCAAAGTAGCTGGCGGTGAAAGAAACTCTTTGCACTACTTGAATAGAAGGGCGGAGCACCTGCGGAGGTGGAATATCCAAGCAAGGTCCACATCACGAGAGTACCTCAATTACGGTACGGGTGAGTGTCAAACAGGTATCTACAGTGGCGAGAGAGTCAATCGATCTCGGCGAAACTCACAGCGCAGCCCACTGACGGTCACGGTGGCAGAATCTCTCGATGGCGCTCCTCCAGAAGGCAAAGGCGGAGTATCATGATAGTATTTAATATGCTCTTTAATACGTGGTAGGAATGTCCGATAAGAATTTAATAAAGTGCTTATAGCGCCTCGAAAGTCAAGGAAGAAAAAAGTTTTTTCTTGGCGCACCCTGTAAAGGTTCCAGATGCTCTTGGAAGCGCAAGCAGAGCTGATCGTACTTGAGGAGGCAATCTGTCTCTGGGCCTTCCTCTAACCCTGCGCCCCATATTTATACGAAGCTAATGAGGAATGAAGAAGGACAATGAAGAAGAAGGCCGTACTTGTGAATAGTGGTTGTCTTTCTCCGCCCATACCATCAACGCTGACTTGTCTTTAATTTTACAAAGTGCGTTTGGCTAGTCTAATCAACAGTTAATTAACGTTTTATCGGAGAGAGGGTAGCTGGTGTAGACTTATGTCTGCCTTCCAAGAGAGCAGAGTACCACCCCTGCAAAGGCCGAAACCACGAAAAGTGAAACAGCTGTTATTATAACAAAATAGAATTATAATCGATGGGTATATCATACCTCGTCCCCCACAGCTCTGCTCCCGCGAACTCCTCGGGGCAAAGATATGGGGGAAGAAGGACCTCTGTTGATCCAAAGTCAATCGTAGAGCCCAAGCAAGTTTGAAAGAATCTAATCTAATACAAAATAATTGCTAATTACATAGGTAGGTTTCCTTCGTACTCTTAGTCACCAACAGCTAGACTTCTGCACTTTCCAAGAATACAAAAGCATAAACTGGGCACACTTACTACAAGTTATAAAAAAAGTGTATGACAAAGTAAAGGTCAGACTAACCAGGACAAAGGGCATCATCAAGGCTATGATTGACAGGGGATAGGTCATAAAAAAATGATAGAGAACACCGAGCACCAATTTCTGCTTCTCCCATGGCTCCGACAGGGGTGAGAAATTGATACCGAGCACCATGTCTATGGATTAATTACCGATGTTACTGAAAATATATTCTAAGATCTAAGAAAAGGATCAATATCAATTCAACCGCAAGTGTTAAAGAAACCGTGGCTCAGAAATCATGGTTACAGAATCACTTATCCAAGGAATAACAAGAAG